GTTCAGCAGTTGTAGGCATTTCATACTTAATCTATAGATAAGAAGGGAGTAAACAGGTGATGCTTTTATCGTTAGCACCATTGTTACATTGTATATTATGTCTGCATTGTAACCATTAAAAACTTCTATTTTTTAATACCAACTCTAAATGTATTAGAAGGATATTCCTCCTTCCTCTCCCTCATATGACTAAAGTAGCTAGTGCACATCATGTTAAGAATAAATTCATCCTGTGGTAAGTTATCTGTTAAAGCAGAATTTGCATCCATCTTTGTATTCTGTGTTTACTTATGTATATATGAAGTCTCAGCTCTTCCAGTAGAATATAATTAGTTAATTACTTTAACATGCATGTCTTCTTGGCTAAGACTGTGATTTGGCACTGTTTTACACTGTTACTCTGTTTCAAAGTGACACACTTATTTTAAATTGTAGCATTTAGATCCATGAGTGCTAACTAGGTCAAATAGATTTGTGGCTAAATTATTCTTTCCTGCTTTTTCATTCTGAATTAGTTCTGATGAAGTTGTACAAAGTACTTGGTCCTGTTTCTCTTAATAAACAAACAAATGAAACAAATTTTTCACTTAGGATTAGCAATTATGTATCATAGCATCATGTAAATAAATTTAGAAAATAAAAATCTAGTTTTAGTTCATGATAATAGTATTCTCCTTAATACTTACTGTAACCTCATCTGGAGCAAAATAATAATCTTGATGGATTTTTATGGTAGAATTTTATGTTGAAAGTTGGAGTTCGTGTCCAATTTGGCATGCAGTTTTCTAACTTTTTATACTTACTGAAAAACAGTGGCCTATATAAATAGTTTCTGACTTACACTATCTAGGAGGCTATTTCTGTCCCATTTTGGAGTTCTAGCAAAAGAAAATGTGGAATTGTAGCTGGTTGCATTGACCTAAACATTTCATGGTCTTGATGCTATAGTTTTATCAACATAATTAATATGTTAATACAGTTTCACTTCTGTTATGTGCTATCTAATTACCTAATTTTGATTCACTCTTAACCATGTGTTTCCTCTTACACGAGTAGCTTGTAATATGTGTACTGTTGTGTGGAAAGATACAGAAGCCATTTGTGTGTATGCATAAAAACTTTAAATCAAAACTTGCCTTTGTTTAATATTGTTTTGTTTCAAGTCTGATTTATAAAATGCTAGCTTTTTTTGTTTTGTAGTATGTTCCTTTTCTGTTCAGACCTGGTAACCTGTTGCATAGGGATGTAAGCTCTTTCCACCAAAATATAATAATTAATTAAAAAAAAACAAAACAGCAAAACACCTCCCTTCCCAAATCAAAACATTTAATAACGTCTAAGCATAGTGAAACTAATACTAAGATTTTCCTAAGTAAATTTTTGTCCTTGAACTCAATTACTCTACTAGCACCATTAGTATTGTGATTTTAAAGATGTCTGGAAGTATCTGGAGCCGAAGAATAATAAGACCTGGTTTAGTTTTTTGGCCTCATACATAGAAAGTATGGGTGTTTGTAAGATAAAGATGACTGCAAGAGAATCAGTATCAAGTAAAGTTTTCTTATGCAATATGCAGTTACCGATAGTAATTTTGTGTAGCTTTTTTTTTTTCTTTTGTGTTGGAGTGTTTCAAGTAAAGATGACCGTCTCCTTGCTTCTGAATGAATGAAACTATGAGAAAGAATGGTTCCCAGTATGGGAAATAAGACCTTCAAATACTGTATTTTACTTCACTTAGGAATTTTATTCTAATCATATAAGTGAAAGTATTTGGTATCAGTAGCAGTCTGTATTAACAGAATGTATTATGAGCATGTTTCAAGCCTGGAATAACTTTGTGAGTTCCTGTGGTCACAAATGTTGTTCAGCTGGCCTTTAAGTGGAATGCTTTGAAATTTGTCTACAAAGCTATGTGTATTTAGCCATTCCAAGGCTAATCTGAGCAGCAATAACTTCATATTATCTTTTTTTAATGCTTGAGTTTTCAAAGGCTACGAAGTTTGATTATACTATAATTGGCACTGCCTTTTAGGTTTTAATCTATTTCTTAGTAAAACTGGCTTTATGTTTATGTTTTTGTGCCCTAGTGTCATAAGCTGTAAGTAAATTACTACTGTTGTAGGCTAGTTGTACTGTTGTGGCAAGGTTGAACTTTTTGTAACGGTTACTTTTTTCCTCATGCCTTCATTATACCATAAGGAAAACAGTAATAAAATTAACTGCTGTCCTGCTTAACTGAAAGTCATAATTTAAATATCATTGTAGAATTGTGAGGGAAGAAGATAATTAATTTCAGATCTAACATTCTAAATGGTCCAGGAGTGCATTTATTTAGATTTTATATGATGGTTTAATTAGAAAAGAAGACACCAACAAAACCCCAGACTCCCCCAAAAACTCACAATCCCAAAAAATCTAACAGCCTGTGTCTCAATTCAGTTATCCTGTAGACTTTCTCCATTACTCTCTTTTTATGCAGCCTGGCAGGACTACTGGTTTGTTTTGGTTTTGTTTTTTTTCCCCCATGCAGCTTAAAACAAGTTCCCAGTTGAAAATAGTCTTAATTCTCATTTAACCATGTGCAATCAGTAGTTAGTTACTACACTTACTACAGCAGTTTCTTCCTGGTTGGCGTTTTTGTGACTTACGCTGCAATGCAGTGGCCTCAGTATGTTTTTAGATAATTTATTTTTTCATAGTGGTGAAGTAAAAGCATTTTTGTATAAATACAAGAGCAGCATATGTAACTACCCCTCTTTCTGTGCGCTAATGTTTGTGAGCATAGGTAGCATTCCATCACAAGTTCTCAAGAAGCAGACTGCATAGTGTAGACTGAACTATATAGGTCTGTTACGTGGTAGGCATATATCAAGACTGATAATACAGGACTTAGTATTGTGTCACTTATTTTGAGTGACATCCTGTAACTGTGAAAGAGCGCTGTGATAGGAGTGTAGGCAGTATTGTCATGTATTAATATTTTATAATGTGCTGTGAAATACTTTCTAGAGAGGGGGAAAAGATGACTGTTGTTCTAGAAGGTCTTTCTCTTTCCATTTTAGGGGTTTTGTGGTTACTCTCTTATTTGGAAAAAGCAACTCAGAAAAATACCTTGAGCAGTGTGAACATTCATTTCTTCCTTGTACATCAGTCGGAATCCCTAAGGTAAAGAGAGTTTACTGATAATAATTTCAAAATCAGATTTTCTAACTTTGAAAATTAGAATGATAGTAATAAACAGTTTTAATGAAATGCAATTTTTTTCCTTCTTGAAATAGAAGCTTTTTAAGTATTTATGGAAGCTTGTTTCAAGTATTGTTTCTGGCTTCATTATGAGAAATTAATAAGATGTAACTGGCTAATACTGTGTCTGAGATAGCTAGTAAGCCATTCTTTTCTGGACTACTTGTGTGTGTTGTGCTTTTTGTTTTTGTCAGGAGTGGTAGCTCATTCTTGCTATTTCTTGAAAGATTGTCATGGCTATTTAGGATTCTTCCATTACTCGTCTGTAGTCTCCAGATTCTTTTGATGGTGGTCAGAAAGTTGCTTGCCTAATTAACAAATTAAATGGTAATAAAGTTTAGGTTTACCATAGCTCAGGAATGTAGTCATCATTATTTTTGGCTGTCTTTAAGTCCTAGCATAAATCCTGGAAGCACAGGTAAATGTGGAGAATCAGTGGGATCCCCTTTTCAGCTCTTTTCTGAATTCTTAACAAACACCATTTTGTTTGATGGACCTGAAGTCAGGGTTTCTAATTGGATAAATCTTTATCTGTTTAGAACAGAATAAATTCTTAATAGCCAAGAGGTAGCATTTACAAATTCCTGATTTACAAGCAAGTACATCTCAGCAGCTCATGAGTTGTAGATAAATCTTGGCCTAATCCATTTGCACTCATCAGAACAGAGAAGATGCTTTAACCCGAAGATTGCTAGTTATGTTATATTTAGTCTCACCGCTGTTTTGACTGAAACATGGGATTTCTTAGCTGTCAGGTCAATCACTAATCATCTGTGAAAGTGGATGTGTTCACCTTTCTTATCAGTAACATACAGAATTTTTTTTTGCCATTCAGCAATATGTTTTCTAACCACAGAACTAGTTCTCAAATTTAACAGTAACAAGTGACATTCACTAGGGCTTTGAATAGCCTAGTGTAATGGATGGTGTCTCTGCCTGTTGCACAGGGGGTTGGGCTAAATGACCTCTAATGGTCCCTTCCAACCAAACCATCCTGTGATTTTATGGTTGTATCTTACATATTCTATACATTATAGTAATGGGGAAAATGTTGTACAGAGTTGTTGCTGGAATTACACATACATCATAAGCAGCAGAGCTGATTTTTAATTCTAGTCAAAACCTGCAAAGTTACATTTTCTAATCTCTTTAAGTGCATAGAAGAAATGAAGCGTGAAGCCAGACCTATTAAGATTGACAGAAGACTGACGGGTGCAAATATAATTGATGAGCCTTTGCAACAGGTAAGTTCTAACCAGGACTATTTTACCTATTTTTATTTTTGCAGGTACTAACTATATAATATCTAAATAATTGTGAGACAAATAGAAGTTGAGAAATTTTATTGTATTTGAGTGGTAAGTGAAAAACACTGAGGATGGACTGGGATATTGGGCAATATTTGAGTCTGTTTTCTGTATATTATAGTTTCTCACCATGGCATGGTGAATGCATGTAAGCCAATATGAAAAAGAGGTTTCATTGTGTGAGTTGTATTGTTTCACTCACAATTCCATAGTGGTAGGGGAGTATGGTTCACTTTGTTAACCTTTGAAATGATGGCTGTTGCATTATTTGGCACCAAAAGTGATTTTCCGTTTTGCTGTCTTTTGTTTATTAGTTCATCTTTATTTTTTCCTTTCCAATTTCAGGTAATCCAGTTTTCCCTGAGAGACTATGTGCAGTATTGGTATTACATGCTAAGTGATGATGAATCATTTCTTCTGGAAATCAGGCAGGCTCTTCAGTATGCACTTGTTCAGTTTTCTGCCAGGTAAGATTATTTGTAAATACATCAATATGCTGTCTAAGCAAGGGGACAAATACCTCTGTGGGTTGTATGGTAGTAGGTAACTGATTAATGTTATCTATCAGCATAGTTCAGTGCATGTTACAGTAAGAACATGTAAAATTTTAAGATCATAATCTCAGAACTGCTTTGCTGATTCCTTAAGGCATGAATGGAGCATATATTTGTAATTGTGATCTCTTGGCAAAAGTTAATGTCTAAAATTACTGAATAGCTTTTCATCTGCAACTTAGAGCATTGAGTTGCATGAATCATCACATTTTTATATGCAGGTCTGTTTCATGTAAACAGCAGGGCTATTTTCTAGATAAGTCAATCTGAAAGCCTTTAATTCAAATATCTGTATCTGCTCAGATAACTTTTAAAAGTGGTATTACTCTTCAATATGGAAGACCAATGAGTATTTTTAAAGGAATAGTAATCTTGGGAGTGAATTGGTACATCACGTATGTAAATCATTTTTAAAAATAGGGCTGGTTCTGAGCAAATGGATAGTTTATTAGTTGTCTCAGGTTTTTTTTCTCCTGTTGCTTCGTCAGGTATCACAAAGTCAGGGAAATAACTTGTTTGGGAAATTATTTATCTTTTTTAGTATAGCTAATTTCTCAGACCAGGTACCAAATGCCTTTATATCTACTTCTTTGTTAAGTTGCAATTTCAGGTGTTCATCCCACTGTGCTGATGGTTATGTGTTTTCTCTTCAGAACAGGTTATGGGTCACCTAGATACAATAAATTCCTTAGCAATTCTGAGGTGGTGTTAGCCCCTCCCCTCTGTTGACTTGAAAATGTAGGTCAGTGTGCTTTTCTGGCACAAAAGGTCAAGACTGAGAGTGTGGTATAACACTAGGAAAAACTCATAGTAAAATCTTGTTGATTGTGCAGTAATGGAAATCCTAGGAAATAGTGTTGGAAATAGTGAAAAACAGGCTAAATAAACTGTACGTTACAGCAATCAATCCTGTGCTTACATTAAATGGACCTGGATACCCAATTTCAGTGTTTGTTTTTTTTTCTTTTGGTGTATTTGGAGAAGCTACTTCACTGAAAAGTATGAAGCACTGGGTTTGTGTCAAAGCAGGTTAAGTTATAGCAAACTCAGTTTTTTCTTCCTACAGTACTGCTGCTCTTCAAAAATAGCCACTGCTCCTCTGCAGTTTTTCTGTATAAATCAAATTGGTTTCACAGGCCCGCAGCAGCAGTTACTATTATTAAGTGTATCTATGGCTGTAGTTGTATATAGCTGTATTTGGATATAGCTGTACTAGACTTAGGTTTGTGCCATCATTTGTAATTTCATGTACACTGTGAGCTTCTGAAGAGACCGAATACAGTGGGTAGTACTCCCCCCCCCGCCTTGGGATTCCCCCCCTCCCATTGAGTTGCACGTTTGGGAGAATGATGTAAGGCTGCCACCTAGCGTCTTTTTATGATTTGTTGATTATGCGGATGGTGGATCTGGATTATCGATGGTTTTGATTGACTGCCCTTTGTGGCAGCTCTGCTTCTTATTTCCACAGCTAGATTTGCAGTAGGCTTCCATCTCTTCCACAGTTGCTTATCCTTTTCTCTCTTTTAGAGGTAAGAAAGAGCAGATGAGGGAACAAACACAAGAAAGGAAGTGTTATTAGAAGGGTTTTAACAAAGTAGACGTCAGAGAATTCAGCTAGTGGAATACTTAGTGCAGAGTAAAAGCTATCACTAACATTTAACTTCATTAAACCTGTAATGCACAAGTACCTTTTCAGTTTGTCTAGTAAAGGTGTGGACGTCATAGGAATACTTCTGCATTTTTTCATACCACCATAACTTTATGCAAATCTGACAGTATCTGTTTTCTGATGGTAAACTATGTGCATTGTTGGAGATTCCCACTAATTACCTCTCATATAAGCTGTGAAATGAATTGTCAGTACTATGAGGTCACTTGTAGCTTCAAGTGAAATGTGAAGCACTGATGCATATACTAAAAAGTCAGAAAATAATTATTTTGTTTAGATGCCTTATAAAATGTTAGAAAGTATAACTGAAAAAGACCCCTGTAGTATTGTAGTTTCAGGCTGAAGCTTTTCAATATTTTTCACAGATATTTGATAATGTCATGAATCAGAATACTATTCCAGATACTAATGTTGACCTTAAAGTAATTCAAGCATAAATATTAATGTGGTGTGAGAGTGGTATTTTGCAGTATTTGATTTGTTTTCAGTGCATAGACAATTAGGAGACTGATTTCTTTTGCTTTTTCATATTTACTGTCAGTGTGGTTCTTGGAAGGGAGTTGGAAGGGAGAAAGGAGTAGAAATATATTATTGTTCTTTGTGTACAGGATAAAATGATTAATCTTCATGGGTGTCCCTTTCTGATAGGTCAAAGGAAACAGACTGGCAGCCTTATTTCACTACACGACTTGTTGATGACTTTGGCACTCATCTTCGAGTTTTCAGAAAAGCTCAGCAAAGAATAGCAGAGAAGGGTGATCAGATGAAAGGTAGTGTAATGATTTAAATATTTTTTTATTTTACTAGGTAGCTATCTTACATGTGTAAAATATAGTTAGCCTTATTTTGTAATTGAAATTTACTCTCAAGTTTCTAGTATTTACAGAAAAGTATATTTCTTTTTTTTTTTTTTATATAGACCAAGCTGAGGAACTTGTAGATACATTCTTTGAGGTTGAAGTTGAAATGGAAAAAGAAGTCTGCCGTGATCTAGTCTGCACTTCTCCCAAAGATGAAGAAGGTCTCTCAGTATTATCTTCTGAAGTTATTTCAGTATAGCAGACTAAATTAAAATGTTAATAGTTGTGTTTTCTGTGTGAAATATACTGAAATCTTGGCATGTGATTTTCAAAGCGTGATTACTACACATGTATATTTCCTCTTCTTTCTGCATAGTAATGCTATAATTATAATAACGTGTACATATGTAGTTATTGCTCTTTTCATTGAAATAATTTTAAGACAGAAATACGCTTTGTGGGAGGCAAGGCGTGGCTTTGCAGATTCTTAGTGCTTTTTGTTAGATCTGCCTTTTTATCATTATTCCATAATCTTCATTAAAAAAAAAATAATCAGTTTATCTTTTTGGAAAAAGTGTTAAGGAGGGGAAAAAACCTCTGTATGTTAAATGAGGAAAATCAATTGGAGGGAGTTTTTTGATTCTTGGAATTTGGCCTTCTCTTGTTTTGGTTTGAGAATCAAGATGTGTTTCAGGTTTTCATCAGTGCTGCTTATGTTCAGTCTGAAAGTTTTTGTTGTGATGCTCGACTATAAGAATATATATGACTGTATGTTTGAATTTAATTTTAAGGATTTATCTGTTAGTTTTTATGATATCAGATAAGATGTGAAATAACATAATACAAAAATTGTGCTGAGGGGTTTTGTTCTCTCACTTAGGATTCCTAAGGGATCTGTGTGAGGTTTTACTGTATATATTGCTACCTCCTGGAGACTTCCAGAACAAGATCATGCGATACTTTGTCAGGGTAAGTATGGACTCTAAAACCATCCTGAATCTTTGCTTTAATGGCAGAAAAAAATTCAGATCTGAACTACTCCTCTTCATGTATTTTGTCAAATTTCTCTAATTTAACACTGTTACCTTAAATGCAGTACAATCTTGGTGAGTATTCAATAGCAGAGAACAGTTTGTGTGGAATGTTTTTAAAGTTTCTTTTACCTCTAGCAGCATTAGAAAAGCATGATGAAATGGATGTTGATTTTCTTGAGATGATACTAATGTGTTAATTGGAAGGCAATATGCTAGTCTAGTGGCTGTTGAATAATTTCTGTAATTTTTTATTTAGTCTTTACGCAGTGATTTTTAAATTATTGCACTTATATTAGCTTTATGAATAAATGTGTACAATTATTTATTATATTCTGTTTTTCAGGAAATCCTCTCCCGAGGAATTCTTCTTCCATTAATAAACCAGCTCAGTGATCCTGATTATATTAATCAGTATGTCATATGGATGGTAAGATTTGTAACGTCTAAAATTATTATATTTCCAGAAAATGTTAATATAAAACTGTACTCATTTTATACATCTGTGAGTATATATACACACACATTCACACTATATCTGTATTATCTACACTATGAGTTGTGGTTTGGCAAAATTTGTCTGACTGAAGGCAGATGTATGACAAAGTGTGAAGCTGAGTTCTCAGCTAAGTTTTAGTTAGCTGTTAAGGAAGTATGGTGGTAATCTGGGAAGTTTTTTTTTCCTTGACTTTTCTTATGATGTGTTCTTTGAAGCTTAACAGGCCTCCAGGATGAAAAGCTGCAAGATTGGGTTGTTTGTTTTTGTTGTTGCTTCTCCTAAGGAATCTCAGAGTGATTGTTTTAGAGATGTTTGTGGTAACCCGTAATAATTTAACCAAATTATTATTCTGAATAATTATTCCGAATGGGAAGAGACAATGTCTGTACTTTGAGAACTCTCTAATGCACTTGTGAAAAAAAACACACCAAAAACCAAAAAAAAAACAACCCATCAGCAAACCCTGAACTTTAATAAAGTAGTAATATATAGTAAAATAAACAAAAATAGAATATTCACACTTTAATGTTATTGATTTTTTGCAAAGAAAGTTGAAGCTTGCTCTTACAGTTTATTTTCCCTTATAGGTCATAAGTCAAGTTTATTTTTTTCCTTTCAGAGAGTTCTCTTTTCTTTTATTAATATATTTTAGTCCTACAGTGTGGATTCAGGTACTGCTCTGAAAATACCTTGGATTTCAGAGTGTTAAATTATTTTGTATGGAATGAATTCAAGTGTATGTGTACAAAGGTTCCATCACTGCAGCCATTTCTATTTCCTGTAAAAGTTAGCATGCTGCTTTTCTACAGGAACCTGACTTTAATGCTGCTCATATGGACTGAGCTTTTCAATTTTTGTTTCCCCTTTCCTCCTATGCATGTTCTTTATTTGTAACTTGGCCTCATTCTTTATTTACTGAGCACTGCCCCCGGCTGCATCCAAAGATAGAATTCTGAGGTTTTTATAAAGCTTTCTTTTCTGATCGTAATGTCCCAAATATTAATGTTCATAATTGCTTTCTGAGATGAGGAAGTAAATGTGCTGATGGAAAGATAAGGAAGATTAAATGCCTTCAAAATTTAATGCAAGTCTTATGAAATTAAGATAGTGGCAGAAATGAGAGATGACTGAAATACGTTCTAGCTCCTTTTGGAACCTTTGACATAAAATCAGTGAAAAAAAAATTTTCTGAAAATTAGAAGATTTAATTCCATGTTTCTAGGTACACTGCAGTTCAATAGTAATTCTCTTACAGTCTAATATAAAACTTCAATATAAAATTAGAAGTTAGTTTAAGCTTCTCACTTTCCACTATGAATTTCACATTTGTATAAAATGTTTGAAATTTGAAGTTCAAGCTCTGGCAGGGGGGTTGGACTAGATGATCTTTCGAGGTCTCCTCCAACCCCTAAGATTGTGTGATTCTGTGAAGTATCTCTTGTATTATTACTTTTAAAAGCACATTTCGAGGAAGATTTCTCATTAACTTTGGCCAAAGGTATCCAGTCTTCATTCTCTTTGCTCCATGCAACTCACATCAGTGTCCTTCTGGAGTACTAACCAAGAGTTACATTTCCATATCAAAGTGAGCATTTGTGAAAGATGTGAGTGAGGGAACCTTTTTTGGCTTCAGATCGTAAAGACAGCATTAGAACTTAACCCTCTGCACCTGCGTGCACCACTGTAAAGCTGCCAGCCTTCTGCTGATCTCCATGCTGTGTTCACAGCACTGTTTCCGGTGACCTCAGCAGCACAGCAGGCTTATAAGCTCACACAAATTCCTATGAGTCCCCGGAGCAGGTTCACCCTATGCCAATACTGTGAAAATAGTATGTATTGAAGTATTGTAAATAGTATTTACAGGGGTATCTGAGTTAGGATTTCAGAGAGCATAAGTATTTTTTCCCTCCCCTGTCCTCCTTGGTTGTAGTTACTTTGGAGAATGTTTGGATTCTTTTTGTAATTTAGTATCTTAAGAAGCCATTACATTGGGTACGCTAGGCTTGCAGGTGACCTTGGCAAAGCTGAAACCTTCTCTGTGGGCTCACCAGTTTCTGCCTGCTTAGCTAATGAGATGTGTAAGAGCAGAAAAAGATTGATTAGGTTTAAGTTCTTCATTAAGGAGGCTGACAGACTGTCAGTGTCTGTAATTCCTGACAACAAAAATGATGTTGTGAAATAGATGTTGACTGTGTGCATGCTTCCTTGCTCTTGGTCCATGTCAAATTTTAGCATCAAGGGGTAGGTTTAGAAGTATCAAAGTGTTTTCAAAATGCTGCTTTGCAGTGCTGAATCAAAATAGTTAATGAAAAATTGTCATGTGCTTTTACCTGTTTTGCATTATTCACGCTTGAAAATTTCTGTTTCAGATTCGTGATTCCAACTGTAACTATGAGGCCTTTATGAATATTATTAAATTAAGTGATAATATAGGAGAGTTGGAAGCAGTGAAAGATAAAGCAAGTGAAGAACTGCAATATCTTCGATCTCTAGATACAGCAGGAGATGGTTAGTGCTGTACTGTTTTACAAAATATGGAATGCATTTGGCAGCATGATCTCTGAAGAACGTTCCAAAAATTTGGAAAGGAAAAACTGATACAGCATAATATATAATACTTTATTATTTAAAAAATAGATTAAATGTGTAGTGTTAAATCTAAAATTTTCAGACGTGTCTTTGTTTGGCTTTTTTTAATATGGATAAATTTTTTATGTATGTTTACTTCCACTGAATTGAAACTTGCCTGAGTGGTGGTTATGAATTTCAGTAATATTTTAGGTAGTCAGCTGGCAGTTAGTCTGAGAATGAGGAAAGTATTTCTTCTTGTTTACGTCTATTGGTAAGGTATCTAAGCTGAAAAACATGCCCAAAACCCTCTCTTTTAAGCTGATGTGTTTTGTTGTTGTTTTCCACTTTTGTATGATGTTTTTAGACCATTTCAGAACAAGAGCTTGTTTACTCATCTGCATTGCTTAATCCTCTTTGGTTTTCCTTTCAGATATCAACACTATAAAAAATCAAATAAACAGTTTATTATATGTTATTAAAGTATGTGATTCAAGAATTCAGAGGTTGCAGTCAGGAAAAGTAAGTAGTTTGAAGTTTTTTCTGTTCCAAAAGAGTGAAGCTGCAAGTGACTTATTAGTTTGATCTAGCTTTTTAATTCTTACATTTTGAAACACAAATGTAGTTACAGGAATACATTATGCAGTTGAAGTTAGTCTTGTATTTGCAGTTTACATATGGAGAGAATTTCTAAAGCTTCACATGATTGGGGTTTTTTGGGTAATGTAGTCTTGTGCATATTGACTGTTAGAATGTTTAAATATTCTACAGCTGGGTCTGGAGGCATTGCTGTTAATACCAAAAAATGTCATATTAACAGACGATAGTTGGGCAGAGGTGAATTTAAAGTTGTGGTAACCTGCACCCTATCAATTCCTGAAATTAGTTAATCTTGATAATTCATTTTCATACTACTGTCACACTTGGTGAGGGATTTAGGGTTAATTTGACCTGTATAGTATTACATAAATGGCAGTGTTAAAAGCCAGCTTCCCACGTAGCAGAAACCATCACTGTTGAAGGCAAATAGTTGTGAGTATATGATCACATGATCTAGATCTTTATTTATTAGTGGTTGTGAAAATAACTAACCATTGAGAGGGTGCTTTATTATCCGTGATGTTAACTATTTTTTATTACATCTGCTTTGTGGTGCATAGAAACTTTCAGTACTAATTTAAAAAATAAATCCCTATGAATACACTGAACTGTGTCTTATAGGAAATAGATACTGTGAAACTGGCAGCAAACTTTGGAAAACTTTGCACAGTCCCTCTGGACCATATTCTGGTAGACAATGTTGCACTACAATTTTTTATGGGTAAGTAATTAATTTGATCTTTTTTATTTAGAAAGAATATGCTAATGTATGGGACTGTGCACTTGAAATTGCTAAATATAGATGTCTTCTGAGAACTAAATATGTTTTTTACTCTAGATTACAAGTATTCCAGTATAACCAGATCCTGGAGTTTCATTCATACTTAACATCACAGAGAATTCTTATTATAAGATGCACAACAATAACTATGTTTGTGTGGTGACTGTTTTCTGTAGATTACATGCAGCAGACTGGTGGCCAAGCACATCTGTTTTTCTGGATGACAGTGGAAGGATACAGGGTTACAGCACAGCAACAGCTGGAGGTACTTCAAAGCAAGCAGAAAGATGGAAAACATCAGACTAATCAAACCAAAGGTCTATTAAGAGCAGCTGCATTTGGAGTTTATGAGCAATATTTATCAGAAAAGGTAGGAATAACTTCTTTCTGCATTGTTTGGAAATTATTTTTCGTGCAGATGCTTCTTTGGTAGTTATGGCTACATTAATATGAACAGGATGTGATGTAGCACATGTTGACAGGGTGACTTTTAAGCTTTTACTCTCCTTTTGAAACAGTAAGAAAATGTCTTCTTTTCTTAAAAAAAATATATTTTTTCTCCTCTCCGTGTAAAAAGGCTCATACTGGCACTATGCTATCAAATTCAATTGCTCCTGTTTTCCTCAGAAGCTGAATTTCTGGAGCAGAGAGAAACTACAGAAAATATAAAGACAATAAGAAATTCTGTCCCTCTCTGTGTACTGTCCTTTCCCCTTTCTCTTCCTTCCCCCCTGCCCCATGAAGAAATCTTTTTGAAAAGATGCAACCCAATGTTTGTGCAAGCTTGGATTAAGGTTGGGTTTTCAAATTAAATAACTTTTTGTGTATCTCTGTAGTTGTCTGCACAAATTGCTCTAATATCACTGTTGCCCATCTTTTTGTAGGCTAATCTTGAATGCTTCCAGTAGTCTTGTAATAATAGAATATTCTGTTAAAGAAAACATATGTCAAATTGTGTTAACCAAAGAAACTTTGTTCTGAATTTTTTGTATGCGTAAAAATCACCTCTCAACCCGCTCAAAAGCTTCCCTTAATAAATTATCCCTCAAATCTCTTGTGATACTTTTCTTTCTGCATCATTTATTTCACTTTGTTTTTTTTACCTCTGTAGTCTGTTGTCATTGTGGACTTTAGACTGTGCAGTTTGCTCTGATTTTTGAGCTGAGTTCACCAGTTTGAAGTCAGAAGCCACTCAATGCTAGAGCTATTCCAAATCCAATATACTCAACCTCTTAGCTGTGCTTGCTAGATCAAGTGAGCTCTGCTGGGTCTGGTTCAGTGCTAGCTCCCTGTCTTTGTTACCGAAAGTAGGGAAAATGTGTGAATTCAGGCCCATCTAAAAATTCTTAATGGGCAGTGAAATTAAGTATCCCCTCATATCGAGCGGTGACTGGGAATCTGATACAGTTAGTGTGCTGGTAGCTGTGATGGAGTCTGCATAAGAAGCTACCATGATTACAGCTACTGATAATCTCCCCAGAAATTGGCAGAGTTGACAAACTGTTACCCGTTCCTCAAATACTTCAGAACTTCATCCATTTACTTTTTTACTAGCTTATTCTTAATTTCTGAATCTAGATATTCTTAGTCATAAATAAATAAGATGTTTTTAAGTCTTGAGTGAATCTGGTTTAGATATTGCTTAACAATAATGTGCATAAATTGTTTTTGAAAATATTCATAGCATTTAGTCCTGGAACTTAATTCTGAGAGGAGGACGGGATCTGCCTTCTATTGTTTGATCTAGAGAGAGCAAGAAATACTCATCAAGAAGAAGTCTTGTTTGCCTAGAATATTGCAGAATTTTATTGAATTTTATTTATGAAAATAGAAGCTTACTTATTTACATGGTACAAAAGCTGATTTAGATCTCTGTGACAGGCATCTCCAAGAGTTAATATTGATGACAACTTAGTAGCAAAACTGGCAGAAACATTGAACCATGGGGATCCAACACCGGAAATCTTTGATGACATTCAGAGAAAGGTATACTCTTTCATCCTATATTTCATAAGAACTGTTAAGGCTACAGAATATTAAATGTCACTACAACCATTAAAAAGGAGGACTGAATTCAAATATCCAAAACCTAAAACCTGTTTTGCCATTTTCCTATTCTGTAAAAAAAATACTCTAAATTGCCAATTTCTGCTTAGCTATACATAGCCCATGGTTTTCAAAGCAATAGATAGAGAAACTGTAGGTGTGCTGTATAAAATTAATTATAAAGCACACTCTGGAGTTACAGGATTATTATTTGTGTGTATTCACCAATTTAAGAAATTGTGCCTGTACAGAATAACTAAGTGGTGCAGTTTTTGTCCTATTTAGCTATTTTTCAAAGGTGCATGTAAACATGTTACTATAAAAAAATATTTATTTCTAGAAGTTAATTTCACAGTTCTGTTTCTGCAAGCCTGCACAGTGTAGGTCTCTGAAACAGCAAGTACAGTCTTTTTACTACCTGCGTATGTAGCCTTTATCACTCAGTTCTCATATTCAGTGATATGAGTTGTAGAACTTAGAAGCACTCTGCTGTACTTGAGGCCCACATTTAAGACTAATAAAAACACCCTGTGAAATCTTTATTTGCCAAAGTAGGTTACAAAGGCCTTGCATGTAATTTCCACTAAAGAGTTTTAAGTTTCTTATGTGTTACAAAATAAATGGACTTTCTCAGACCTGCATGAAAATTGTTTTGTATTCTTACTCAATGATAGTGCTTGTACAAAGTTATTTCATGAAAAAAATAATTGTCATTGAAATATTCTGGAGTTGACATGCATATCCAAACTTTATGGAATTATTTCGACTACATATAGATACGTGTGTGTTTAAACCTTTCTGAGGTTATACTGTCTTGGCTGAAGTGGACATTTTCAGGAAAATAGTAGCTGTTGTTTTTGTTTTTGCTACCTTCCTTTCCTTCTTCTAACCTCTCAGTTATGTGCTTATAAATTAATCAATAAAGGACTCTTAGAACCTATTATGAAATGGGTAAAAACAAATATGTTTGAAGTGCAATTGGCAGGCTTAAGAGGAGAGGAAGGAAACAATTACAGTTTATGTGCTGCTTTTTTCGTTAGAGATGTGTGTCTCAGTATTTAGATACTTTCTGAGACTGTATTATAATTATAGCACAATTAGTTCTCATAACCTTTCTGTTAAGAGGAAGCTGGAATTGAAATTCCACAAACTTACATTAGAATTTTAAAGGAAACCTAGAGACACATAATGGAATGCAGTTATATGTTTGTCAAGTGGAATTCATTAAATTCTTTCTGATTAATTAAAAAAATAAGCATTTCTAAGGTTGGCATTTTTATTTCAATAAGGTCTATGAGCTGATGCTCCGAGATGAAAGATTCTACCCCTCATTCAAACAGAATGTGTTGTATGTGCGTATGTTAGCTGAGCTGGATATGCTGAAGGATCCTAGTTTCAGAGGATCAGATGATGGTGAAGGAGGTGAGCTGTGTATCTGTAAGGGGGACTTCTTTGGACTATTCTTTTTATGCTTGAAAATGAAAATAAGAAAATTATCTGCACTGTTCTTGAGAAATCAAAAAGTTCCTATAGTATCTCTGATTCTTTGATTTTTAAGTTTCCTCCTTGTGCTTTTTTCGTAATTGTTTCAGAAGTCAAATATTTTTTTTTCTATAGTAACTTCATTAATCTCTTGTAAATTTTTTGTCAAGTCTTGGTAACAAGTGTGTCAGTAAAATAAATGTGACTCCTTAATTCTCACTTGTATTTAAAAATATTTGAGGTTCTTCAGTATGTTCAGTTGTTTTAATACTTAACTATTATTCAGCTGCAAATAAAAATTGAATAAATAGGAGAGTGGCTTTTTAAAGCAATTTAAATCATTTTTCTCATGCAAGTGTAATGGAAATTATTTTAACTATTAAACTAACTCCTTTATGAGGCAATTTCATGTGGTGATAAAAGCTTAAAAAGGAATGTTCTCTGGAGTGTTTATTTCATATCTATAACTGTGTAAACTTGCACATGTTTTCCCTTAGGTGTCTTTATTGGACACTTGAAGTGTGTTGAGTGCAACATTTTGCCCAATGCCACCCTTGTCCCTTATTTTCCGTATTGGTTTTTTTGTATTTTTATTTCTTGTGGGTGGACCTACATTGAAGAAAGATGTTCTAACCTGTTTTTTTCCTTTTTCCTTCTGCACTGCTCCTAGAATCTTTTAATGGGTCTCCTACTGGCAGCATAAATCTGGTAAGTGCTTATTTTTTTTTTTTAATTATTATTATAATTTTTTCTCAGCAACAGTAGTAAAAGTGTTATAAAGTAGTTTAAAGTATATGTTAGAGATTTTATTTCATTACAGCTTAATTTCTGAAACGGTTCTTGAATCAAATTGAAAACACATATAAGGTATCAATCTGTAAAATAACTGTCCCTTTTGTACTTTCCTCTGTGTTTAATGAAATTTTGCATTGTTTCTCACAGAAACAGTAATAATCTATAGTTAAATTATGCAAAGCATACTTTCTTATCCCTGTTTGGTTTTTTAAATGGACATAAATTTGGAGTTAGGTAATAATAGGTGAAAACAAATCCTTTGAAACCAAGATCGTGAAGTTCAAATACGCTGTAAAGTGAAGCGTGTAATTAAATTTTTATAGGTTGATTGTTTTATTTCTTTGAGTTAGGACTTGATTCGGAAACAAATATCTGGAGTTTATCTATTCAAAATCTGAATCTTTGTTTTCTAATTTAACCAAGTTCAATTCTCGGTTTTACTTTTTTAAGCAATTCTTGACAGCAGTGCTGACTTTGCCAGAACCTTTTCTTTGTTACATGAATGTACCTAAGTATTTGAAATATGCTTCTGCATGAATGAATGGTTGCATATGGATGGAGATCAGTGTGTACATTTACCAGACTTTTTCCAAATAATCTGTTCCACATAGATTTTACTAGGTTGAAAAATGTTTTAAGCAGGAAACCAAATCACAGTTATTGAAAAAGGAAAAATAAGAAAAAAAATTACTTCCTCCCCTCTTTCTTACCTGTTTCTTCAGACTCCATGTAGCTGAGCCACAAGATACGTATGCAAGATTTGATTGTGCATACAAGAATATTTTTTCCAAATCTTTTAGTCTTAGATGGGTTTGCAATCTGCCATGCAATTTTGTGGTTCTGTGGTTCACAGGCCTTTCTGATCTTGGAAGATGGTGTATCTCCTTAGGAGTTCCAGCACATTGGAACATGCTTGCCACAGAGGAATAGATTTTACTTTGTAAATGAATGCATTTTACATAAAAGTTGGGGCTTTTTTCCATTATTTTAATCTTGTTTACAGTTTGAAATACAAAGAAAAGGAGAGGTGTTCAACTGATGCCATTTCCACAAACTCCTGTTAGATGCAGAAAAAAACCCTAAATTTAACCATATTTTTAAATTTACATACAATGCTGCTAACATTTCACAAGAGATTATGTTAATTGACTAATATCTTAAAAATATACTTCAAATAACTCTAAGTATTTTTTCTAAGAATACTCTGACATACCAAAGTTGTATTTTATGGATGGGGATTTGTCACTGTAGTGACTCTAAAACTCTTTTGCCTAGTTTTTATCCACAGCTTACTTTCATGTGGCTTTTCCAAACTGAGTTAGAAAGTCTAAAAATCTTTATTAAGCACTGTTGCACTACAGAAAGATATTTGCATGGAATTTTCTGAGTCCAGATTTTTGTTATTCTTGTGAAAAGTATATTTGCAGAATGCAACATTTAGTAGTTTTATAGAGAGTGAAGAATACTCTAGCAGAAATAAGTAAAAATAACTCCTTTTTGTAGTCCATATTGTTCAGGGATGTCAAGTGTTTTCAGTACTTTTACAAGTGTTTGTAGACTGGTAGGTTAGTTTTTCCTGGCTGGATTCCATGTCAAGAGTAAATTTCTGTACTAGCTCCCTTGTGTTGGTCAACTACATGAAGAAAAATAGACCTTGGAAAGGTTACTTCAAAGGTCAGGGAATTTCTGTACTTCTAGCTAATGACAAGGTATTAAACCAGATGGGGTTATGGTGTTATATTTTCGCTTTTTTATTAATTTTTGTTCCCTCGAATATACGTAACTAGATCATATGGGGCTCTGAGTGATCTGGTCTAGTTGGAGATGTCCCCGCTTATTGTAGGGTGGTTGGACTACATGACCTTTAAGAGGTCTCTTCCAGCCTAATACATTATATGATTCTATTATATTTAATACAAACTTTCTGTTGTTATTACCCGTTCAAGTTTCAACCATTTAATTTACTTGCATTAATTGTTGCTGTACAGTGCCGTGCCACAGCAGTTGAGCGTTTCCTAAAGTTTCCATCATAAAATACATCGCCTGCAGTTTATACTTTCACTGTTAGAATGCATTGTAAGATTCTTTGGAAGAGATGCTCAAAACTATTTTGAGACAAAGTTATTTTACAAAAAATATTTTGCAAAAGTATCTTTTTAATTTCTGCCTTCTAACTTGACACATTAATCTGTATTAACTTAGTAGGACATAGGTTAGGGTTATAAAACCATACTACAATATTTATAGACTCTTTCAGACTTTAATTGATTTGATTTTACATAATTTTTTATTGTAATCATATAAGATTGGTTTATGTTTAAGGAAGCAGAGAAGGTTAGAAACTTTATGGATGGTTTTAGGTTAAACACAAGTATGGCACTTCTGCCCAGTAGGTCCCATTCTAGGTAACCTTTTATAGTAACTCGCTGTTAAAATGGCATGGTTAAATTATAAAAGATACCCGATGAGTGCATATTCATTCTGAATGTATATCTTTGAAGAATTATAGAATTTGAGGGTAAAATATATAAAGTATTTGGAATCCCAGTGCCTATGAATTCTATTTAAGTAGCTTCATCTCTTTTTTTTTTTTTTTTTTCTAACTGGTAATTGAAGATTAGGATCACAGGTGTAGTGGCCCATCCTCTGTTTATTTCAGTTGCATATTCAAGTTTTTTTTCACCCAGCAATCTTGCAGAGCTTTGTTATGCAAAAAATTAGTAGTCAAATGTATTAATTTTAAATAACAGTAAAGCTTCTCTAAAAGACCCATTAGGCTTCTTTGGACACCAGTAATTACTGAACAGGAAGACAGGGCCTTAGCTAGCTGAGGGTGTGCTTGTTCGTTTTTTATTGAAGGAAAGCATTTCTGAGAAAAATGCTTGTTTTTTATATACAGCATAGAAATTACTGAAGCATTTATTGTGCTGTAACTTTTGTGTAGTGCTTTAAGTGAGTTGAAAGAAAAAAGAATGGTATAACAATAAACCAAATTATTTGTTATACAACATCGGTATTTGCACAGTTAAGATATTTTTTGGGTTCATTTGATGCTCAGTAAAATACTATTTGTAGCTGTATTTTTATTAGTTGAGATATCCAATGAAAGTGTCATATATGTTAGAGTGATCACACAGCTGTGTAAGCTGGTAGGGGTGTTCTGTGTAAAAGAAAGGCTTCAGTAACCAGGTAACACAAAGGCTTATTTCTATTGTTACAGTGCATTAAGCTATTCTATCAGTGTAATGAACTTAAAGTTTGAAAACTAAATAGATTAATCAAAAAGCATCTCTCAAATGATGCATCTGTGGTCTTATTCTCTCTTGTCCATTTCTTCTTTTTCCCCCTCTCCAACCATACAGTCCTTAGATGACCTTTCAAATGTCCCTTCTGATGACACAGTTCAACTCCATGCGTACATCTCAGACACTGGTAAGTGAATCACTTATGGCTGCTTACTTGTTTTCCACCATTTTTTTTTGAGTTTCTTATGTTACAGGCCCTTGAAATCTTAATCGTTTCATTTTTTAACCTCATAAAACATTTAAATTCATATTTCCCATTAAGTCCTTTGTGATGGAAACCCTTACAGAACTGGTGCTACAGGTCATGGAGTATATATCTACACTTAAAATGTTACTTAATTTTGTTGTTTATAGTGTTTATTTTTCTTTGGAGAATCATTTATTAAATGTCATATTATAAAACTGTAATATTTTAACAATTATTTGAAAAAACAAATTTGGAAAGCCTTTTTTGGGTGTTTTTTTTTTGTCGCATGATTCTGAATCTTGACTGGTTACTTCTCTTACTATAAGATTTTCCCCTGTGCTTTGTGCTTGCTTATTTCAGTCTTTACAATGGTGGCATTTTTGGTCATCTTTTTGTCATGGTTTAACCTCAGCTGGCAACTAAGTGCCACACAGCTGCTCGCTCAGTCCCTTCACAGAGTGGGATGGGGAAGAGAGTTGGAAGAATAAGGGAGGAAACTCACATGTTGAGATAGAGACAGTTTAATAGGTAAAGCAAAAGCCGGTTATGCAAGCAAAGCAACGAATTCATTAACTACTCCCCATTGGCAGGTGTGTGTTCAGCCGCCCACAGGAAAGTCAGGTTCCATCATTTATTAATGAATTAATTATTAAGACAAACGCCATCACTCCAAATGTCCACCCCCTGCCTTCCTCTTCCCTCAGGTTTATATGCTGAGCATTACATCATAGTGTGGAATATCCCTCTTGTCAGTTGGGGTCAGCCATCCTGTCCCTCAGCCTACTTGTTGGTGAGGTGATGTGAGAAGCAGAAAAGCCCTTGACTGTGTGTAATCACTGCTCAACAATAAGAAGAATATCACTGTATTACTAAAACTATTTCCAGCGCAAATCTAAAAAATAGCCCGATACCAACTACTATGAAGAAAATTAACTCTATCCCAGCCAAAATCAGTATACTTTTGAAGAAATTTGGCCATCCAGAAGTGCTACTCCTGAAGATGCTGCTTAGCAGTGCCCCTGAGATATCGTATGGTGGCCACACAGCAGGATGGTCAGCCTGAGGTTAGAGAACAGGGCTTGTTCAATGTTCATGGGGCCAGGGTTTCCTATCTCCATTCTCTGAACACTCTTCTGGCAGTGTCCTGACTGCACGGTGTTTTCTCTTCAGGTTCAGCATTCAACATTCTTCTTCTAGAGGGTAGATGGCAAAGAAAAGAGTGCCCAGTGTGCACCTCGCTAGCGAGTCATTCTTACATTGTCAGCAGCTGCCCCTTATCCTAGAGGTACTCCCTGGTTGCTTGGATCATGGCATTATACTTGAGAGCAGTCAAGGCTGGAAGTACAAAAGGAGTTGGAGCTTATGATTTGTCAGTAAAAGGGTATTTTTTTGGTGTGAGTGCGTTGAAAAATCCACAGACCTTCATTAAAAAATATTTTCATCTAGCCAATGGAAAATTCTGGTTACTGAGTATTCAATACTTAGAGATACCACACGTTACCAATTTAAACAGTGTGCAGTGTAAACAATATTGGTTCTAAGTTACCCAGTGGATTAAATCAATGTGTTTGAAAAAAACTCTGTCCTGGGAGGATTCTGTGATGGAATAATGTCCAAGGGAACTGTATTCAATGAAGAACAAAAGGTTGTTTGCTTCTGTTTAAGATAGCTATCTGTGTTTCCATTTATAAATTGACGTATCAATAAAATGTGTGTGTGCGCGTACACACACTGAATACATTATATATATCTATACACACATAGAGATTATGTACATATGTGTGTATATATATAGTTTCTGTTAAATAGTGGGGGAATGTTTTTTATCTTCTAGATAACTGCTGATGTTAAAACATTGCTTGCAGCTTCCTAGCACTGTCTTATATTTACAGTTTTTTTGCTGGACACTTTTGCAATGTAATTGGAGTGCTTTGCAGATTGGAATTTTCTGGTTTCACAGTTGTCTTTCACCTTTATCTTGAGTTCTTTGGGTTAAAATATTTTTTTTTAAGACCTGTTCTTAAAAGTTCTTTATGTTTTGCATGTCAATGAAGCTTCTCTAACTTGAAGGCTGCTTAATCTCTCTATTCAAGTTTACATAAAGTTTCTGGAGAGTATGGCTTATACAGTGCTTTGAATAAAAGGATGGCTTACTCTTCTGCTTGCATGTCCATTTTTGTCTCTCAAGTCTGTCATTCCAGACATTTCTTCACTTCACATTTGTGTCCTTTCGTCTTCCTTCTTTCTGTTTGTTCCTTTTTTATTTTGTTTTTAAACTATTAGTCTATGCTGACTATGACCCATATGCTGTGGCAGGAGTGTGTAATGACCACGGCAAGACATACGCACTTTATGCTATCACAGTCCATCGGAGAAATCCAAACAGTGAAGAGACGTGGAAGACATATCGACGCTACAGTGACTTCCATGACTTCCACATGAGGATCACTGAGCAGGTAATTAATCTCATAAAAGTCTTTCAAGGCTTCTTTGAAAGGTGCTTTTTCAGTGCAGTGGTATGGGATGAGTATTGATTTTCTCAAAGTGAGTTAAGATGTGGAGTTACAGCACTATGTGATTTTCCATTGAAGTATACAATTTTACCATTTATATAATAAATTATTTGTGCTGAGCAGTTTATACAGGTGCATGTTTATATAGTTTAGTACATGATGAATATAATTGCTGTGACAAAATGGAACCTTGAAAGCTATTCTCCCTGCTTTGCTTAATTTTACTTAAGAATGTTTGTGTGAAGTGCTATTGATCTCAAACAGTGGCGTATTTCATTTGTTATATTTGTTACAGAGATTAAGACATAAAATGGAGCTTTGGAAGTAGGTATTTAGGTTTTAAGTGAATTGTTAAGGATCAGTGGGGTCTCAAAAGGGACACCTGTTGGCAGTTCCGTGGTTGCTAGACAGCCTGCCGCTTATTGCTGTACTCTTAACCCTCCTAAAATGAAAGAAATAGAAACAAAGACTTGTAATTCACCAACTGGTACACTGTAGAACCTGCTGTCATGAAAAAGTGTAAAAAATGTAGTGCTTTGAAAAGAGGAGGGGGAAATGCTTTTAAACCAAGCCTTTGGAGGATACCAATTTGACTGCATAACCTTTGAACTAGTCACAAGTGTGTAGGTTAGTGTTTTAAAGTCATAATGGCAGTAAAAATGGAAAAGGCTTTACTAAAAAGGCAAACGTGTTGAATATTTATATTGATTTTCGACAAAATCTGACTTTTGAATTTCTTATTATCTTAGTGTGCTGTAAATAAATTTGAAATACCTATTTTTGTACTTAATTTTTTTAAAATTGATTTTTCTATTTTGAAGAATCCCTGACCTATTGAAACAAGAAAGAGTTCCCTGACCTTATACTGAGTTAATGTTCTGCTGATATGGGGCAGTCATTTAAAACTATCCTACCAGTAAATTACTAGAAAAAAAAAATGGCAGAAGCAAAAATGTGTAAAATGTGAATGCACAGAAATGTCTTTTTGCTAAATCTGAGTTCTTCGAATTTTCAGAAGATAGAAATTTATCTTCCAACACTTAAGGTTACAAAAAGTAAAGAAATTTCTGTGCTTCCTCGTAGCCTCTTGGAAACTCTTAATAATTTTGCTTCGTTGTGACAATAAAATAGACATTGCTACTGATTTTGTGCACGCAGGAATGTCACTGATACACTGAACATGCTACTTGTGTGTTTCTCTGAGGCATTTTTATTGACATGTTAAGGGCAAATATAATATTTTATTTAAAATGAACAGGAAGGGTGGGGATCATTGTTTATTTTTCAGAGAAAATAGGTACTTGATCTAGAATGAAACTGAAGTATAGTATCTGTATAGCTTTTCTCCTTAAAGTACAGAATAGATACACAGCAGTTTCTTTAGTCAGTAATGTAATAAATATCATGTGAGGTAGATATCTAGATTTAAAGTAGAGGATATTTTTTGCTTACATTGCTTCAGTTTAGATACAAATAATCCAAATATAATGTTTGTGACCTTCCAAAGTTAAGTGACTTCTTTGCAAAAAGAATTTGAACAGTGGAAATGTCAGCCAGTGCCAATCACTGTCATTACCCAGAGAAAAGGCACAGGCGATGGTGTATCAAGCATGGTATGATAACCTTTGTGTACACTGAGTGTTACCATCCACTCCAGGGTTAAAAACTTCATCATTTCCTTGGTAGGTTTAATCAGGAGAGGAAGGGAAATGTGGTTTAGAAAGACTTGCTACATCTCTTGGTGTAGTCTCATAACTCTACTAACTTCTGCACAAAAAATAATAAATCTTGAGGCTAAACTTTTTTGACTGGGTGTGATAATGAGAATAATTTGTACACTCTCCTAGTCTGGATTTCAAAAGTGAGTATTGTGTTTTCAAAAATTTAATTTGCCTGAAACAGTCTCCTGAGAATTTTTTAATGCATTTGTCTGGACAGTCTACCTTTTGTTTTTGCTTCTCCAAAGAATCTGAGTTCTGGCTTTGATGCTGATTTTTATATCAGGTGTTATATGGTAGGTAAGAATAGATGAATATAATGAACCCCTGTAATTTCTGAGCTTATATGAGGATTTGTCATTCTTGAAAACAGGAAAAAAAAAATTGTATCTTTTTTCTAGTTTGAAAACCTTGCAAATATACTGAAACTTCCTGGCAAAAAGACATTTAACAATATGGATAGAGAATTTTTGGAAAAGAGGAAAAAAGATTTAAATGCATATTTGCAGGTAAGCTGTTGTGGTTTTTTTGGTTTTGTTCTAGGTCAGAATTCTTTTTCTAAGGTAGAAAATTTGCTAGCATACTTTTTTGTTGTTGTTGGTTTTTGGTTTTTTTGTGTTTGTTTTTTTTGTTGGCTTTTTTTGGTATTTGTTTTTTTTAAAGCTGTGTTGTAGGTGGTGTACAATCCTAAATAGGATATTGTAGAACTTTATATCTAGTAAGTTTGACATTACTTTGCTGTTCTCTTATATCTTCAGCTGGTTCTGTCCCAGCTCCTCTGAGCTGGTGAGGATTCAGCTGTGTTGGTTTTGAGCTGTATGCCGCTTAACTTTCTTCCTTTACACTCATGTTTTGTGGTTACTTTCTCTTGTGCTGTTGTGTAAGGATTGGCATGGCACCCGCTCTGGCGGCGTAGCAAACCACGCAGCTTCTCCATTCCGATAGAGCCTGTATCAGCCCAGCCAAAGAAATTCAGTTGCCTTACTTCATAGGGACATCCAGGTCCTTTAGCACTAACATATGCCGAGTAACTCAGTGGACATGTTAACAATAAATAATGAAGATAAATAAAATTTTGTGAAATCTGTTTGTTCTGAGTGCCAATATGTTTTGTCTTCGTGTGAGATATGTGCCTCATGTTTAATAGCAATGTTTTTTTCCAATCACAGCTGTTTAGTTTGTTCCTTTGAGTTTCAGAAGTAGTTTGAGTGGTCATAAAGGTGTGCTTTTGTCTGTGAGATGCTACAAATAACATGCTAATCAAAATTATGCAAAGTACCAAGAAGCATCTTGTTTCTATCTTGAGAATAGTGTAATGTTGGAATAAAATTTAGAAAACAAATTAAAAAATGTAAAGATGTAGCATCTTTGTTCATGGTAAGCTATTACTAAACTGAATTGTGTGATCTTCTTCATTATTTATTTAAAAAGCACCGTCTAAAAATTATTTTTCTCAGCTCTTGTTAAATCCTGAAATGATGAAAGCTTCTCCAGCTTTAGCCCATTATGTGTATGACTTCCTGGAGAATAAAGCCTACAGCAAGGGGAAGGGAGATTTTGCACGGAAGGTAAGAATGTTTTGCACTGTTAAGGGAATCTTAGAGAATTCATTAGTGCAATGATTGCAATAAACAGAGATGGTGAGCTTATGTTAAACATCTATATAGCACTTTAAAGCAACTTACTTGCAAGTTGTTTTAAATGTTTTATGAGTGACAAAGTATCTGATGGAGCTAAAAATATACTGGCTTTGTAACAGGTAAATGTATTTGTATGGCTAGGAAATAAGATTTTCAAAGTAGACACAGGACTACATTAAAAGTGTGTTTGTTGCAAGTTACTTTCTGTCAGACATCTGTGATGATTTTTTTGTAGTCTCATTCCTTTTAATTTCTTTTTTCAGCTCTATATTCTGTATTTGCTGCTATTACCATGCTCTCTGCTCTTTAGCCCAAAAGTTGAAATATATTTCCCTTCAAAAACAGATGTTATGTATTTAGTTGTTGTAATCATTTAGAGTCATTGATCACATTTGGAGCTTTAAGCTGTGCATCCTTTTTGTTAACTTACCAGAACTTTATTCAGACAAGTGATTGATTTTGTCTTCAGTTGACCAGGTGATGTGGGCATCTACTTTGCAATACAGCTGTTTCTGAACTTTTAGTGATTTTGATATAAAAAGCATCTGCAACTGTATTGTCACTTCAAATGTTGTTGTTTTACCTCTATTCATTAAATATTTAACAGTGAAACAGAGACATACTTATTAAGGTTTTTGAAATTACTAAGATTTGATTTTCAGCTTTTCAGGTTCTTCAGAAACTTAACTTTTTGAGAGCAGGCCACTAGTATTTGTTCCTCTGGAGTGAATACGGAGTATATACTGAAAGGAAAATTGCAACTGTTTCTTCTCATTTGTTTTTATTTAAACTTGCCATGATATTAAAGCATATCACTCCAGTGCTGTTTAAAAGAGACATGTTTCAGAGATGAAGAGTTGAAAGCAGAAGTGAAACATCTGGAAGTAGGAAGCTTGGAAGGGAGAAATGGCATTGACTGGAGAAGAAAAGGAGCATAAATTCAAGCTAAGAAAAATTGAGGGACGGGAAATGGAAATGCCTATGGAAAAAGATCTGTTGAAAGATGTAAATAGCTATAGTAGGGCTATAAGGAACGAGAAATATAAATGCAAAGCTAAAAGCTTTATTCTGCATTCTGTAATGAAGTTAAGCAATTTGGGTTGTTCTTTATATTATTCTTTGGAACAGTGTGATACTTCTCATAGTGTATTAATATACTGGTGTCCTCATAGATTATACAATTCTGGTTAAACATCTTCCCCTTCAGATGGACACATTTGTAAACCCACTGCGTAACTCTATGAGAAATGTATCAAATGCAGTCAAGTCTCTCCCTGACAGCCTGGCAGAGGGAATGACTAAAATGTCAGACAACATGGGTAAAATGTCAGAGAGATTGGGACAAGACATAAAGCAATCATTTTTCAAGGTAAGAAAATATTTGGTAGTTAACACATACTAGTGGATTAATAGGAAACGAGCTATTGACTCACTTAGACTTATGTTGTATACTGTAATGAAGAGTCAAGTCATTAGACAGGAGAGCAATCTAGTTTATACCTACACCCTTTTAATAAGGACCATCAGGAGACAAACATAAGAGTTCTCTTTGCTACTAAGTAACACATTTTACAGTGATCCTTCTTCACTTAATTTGGTACAGTCACTTGGGAAGATTGAGTCACCTGTTTTGCTGATTTTTTTACCAGACATTCTCATAAAGTTAGTTTGCTGCATCTGCTGCTTTCATAAAAAAAACCAAACCAACAGACAAAATATTTTGAAACTTAGGATAAGGAGATAGCCTCTTTTCTGCTTCTTCTTTGCTGAATTCTGTTTTAATTCAATTTTGTCTTTCCTGCCATCTTTTCTTATCTCTTGTATTCCTAAAATATAATACCTTAGAGGGGGGCAATGGTAGCATGGCATGGTATCTAGAACTGCTATGAAAGTAGTGATCTTCCTAACATGTCCATCTAACCTTCCTTTCCCTTGCCCTTCTCTTTCTGTGTGTAGCTGTAAGAGTTTGTTATCAGGAATTTTTTTAAATTTTGTGTTACCAAGACAATTGTGTGTGGTGGCTGTAGAACTGAGATGAGTTAACTCTTAAACCATAATATTTCTGTAGTGTTGATGGTTGTTTTTTTGTATAATTGCTGGGGTGATAAAATTACTAGCCCTGAGCCTTGCTTGTAACTTCCCTGATATTAACTAACAATGTGTCTGCCTTTATACTCACTGGGAAGCCTGTGGCTAGGTGGGAGTTAAAATCAAGAGGAATCCCATATGAGTTTTGAGGTGTTTTTCATTTGAAGCTTTAAGCATCTGAGAAAACACGTGGATTGTCTTAAAGGTGTTTATGACTTTGATAGCTATAGGAGAATACCTGCAGGCTTGATTTGTTGGAAGATAAAGTACTACTGTACATTTATCTGTGATGGTGTTCACCTGACTTTTGACCAAATATTTGATGCTTATTTCATAACCAAATTGATTTAGAAAATTGATCTGTTTTATTGGTATTCTAAAGCATTTTTTCGTACATAAACATTACTTTTTTTCATTGTAGGTGCCTCCTTTAATCCAGAAAACCTATTCAGACCCTGACCATTGCCGTGTTGCAGCACCAATTGATGACAATGTGAGTCTGACATTTGTCCTTTCAAAGTTGACTCTTTATAAAATCAAATTAATGAGTTACTTGTTTTATGTTAAACCATGTATTTATTGCTTCCTAATATTATACCAGGCACTTAAAACAGTCAACTTCTTAAAAAACAACCTTGCCTGCTTTCTTCTAAAATTAACATCTTCATTAGCACTAAAACAGTTTACACAACAGTGGATTAATTTACAGTGTACATGCTACTGTTCTTGAGTTTTGTGGCTAGGAGTTCGGAGGTTTTTTTTCCCTTCTTCTCTTCAATTTCTGTCTGTTTGAAGATAATAAGGTATTAGACTGTTGGCATAATTTCCGTTGCTATTCTATGAATTCTGATTTCCAATGTGACCTTTTTGGAAGCATTTATTTAATGGATCAGAATTAGTGTTTGCTATATTTTTATGGGAAAAAAACAAGCTTCAGAATGTGTTCCTAAATTATAAACTTCTAGTATGTGGATACCTAAAATATATGAAGCAATAATGTTAGAGGCTTGAAAGTGAAGTTTAAGCTCTTGATATTATCATAAGCTATGGCATTTTGCTATTGTTTTGTTTGAAACATTGATCATATATGTGAAAACCATTGGAAAAAAGAAATACCTCTAAGTAGGACAGAAATACCATAAGATTACCAATGATTATATGCAATTTGTTATGGTAATAAATCTGCACCTGTTCTTCACTTCATGTTTTGAGTTTTTTGGTCACATCAAAGCATTCCTGTTTGTCTTCCTGTGCGTAACTACTGTGATGGCTTGGTAGATGTATTTTTGCTCAAATAGCATAGCCTTGAGTTCTTCTGGGTTTTCTTTTTCCGTTATTTTCCACTATATTAGTCTGTATCTGTAAATCTGTAATTGCAGATGTATATCTGTGATACTCCTGAGGCTTCTGTTTTGCACAGGCAAAACAAAATACCTTTCAAGTATATTAGCAGCTTCCCTGCATCTGTTTGATAGATCTGTAAAATTGTTAAAAGCTACAGTTCTTGATAGCTTATAAGTTAACATACTAAGTGTTTCTGAAGGGCAGATCTCCAGCATTTTAAAACCTTTCCACTCTCAACTGTTCTTTTTAAGATACATTGTTCATAACTTACAGTCTCTCAATCAGAGAAAAAATATGGCAGCTTGAATGGAATTTTACTTGGAGAAGCAGTACTGTAAAAACAAGACATGGGTTTATAGAATCTTCAGCTGGATTATGAATCCACTGTCCCTGTTCAGCTGTATATACAGATATAGTCCACCAAAAGGTGTCCACATAGCTGTGAAAGCTTGCTACTTTTTCCAACATAGGATGAACAATATAGTACCAACTACTGCTCTTCCAGGTAGAGCGGTGTCAGGTAGCAAATACAAAACAAAATTCTGAATATTTTGCTTAGAATGTAAAAATCCTAATAAAAAAACCCCAAAACTCAGAGAAGGTGGATTCAGTCAATAAATTTTGCTGAGTATATAGTAGATTTCAATTTAAGGTTGTTATTCTATAAAGTTATAAGTTTAATAACGAATTGGTAAAAATCAAATTGATTTGTTATTTGACTATTTGTGATTTCAAATGTGATCTTTTTCTGTAATAGTTTAACAGTGCGCAGGGTTGTATTTTGGCATATAAGCAGGCCATGAGAAACTGCTGTCATTTCTCTAAGAGAAACATTAATAAAAACTAAGATGAAAATCTGATACTTTCATACTAAAGAATTTAGTAGACTCTGCCTCAAATTTTAATATTTTAAAAAATATTGACAGTTAGTTCAAGTGTATGCCATCCATCTTTAAAAGCTTGCAGTTGCTGAATCCTCTATTCTAGGATTTCCATAACTTTGGGGGTTTTTTTTAAGTCAATCTGAGCAATATCTTCTGTTAAATAATAGAATGCTTGTACTTTTTTAAATCTACAAGCATAAAAGCACTTAATAGCCATACAGTTCAGAATAATATCTAAATAAAAGGCAGTTCATTCCAGTGAAGTGTCATTGTTCATAGGACGTTCTGAATTTGGCACAGTGCATCCAGAAGAAAAAGATGGCAGAGAAATGCTTCTTCCAGAGTTTTTCGTGCTAGGCATTTGGCAACAGAGCCACCAAAGGAGGAAACCAGGGACAAGCTCTCTCTTTCGGACATACGTACTTACATTACCTTTGTTCAACTTCGGTGAAATAAAACTTACTTTTTGTCTTACTTTAAAAATTCAGTGTGTTTAAGCCTAGTTTACCTTTAATTTTCAATCTTTCTTTGCTATTAGTGATGTTACAGAAGATTTAGGAAAGATTTCAGATTACAGTAAAAAATAAAGCAAAGTGTTTTGTCATTGTTCTGCTTATGAAGCATTTGGCCTGAGAGTTAGCTACTAGAACTGTAGTTTTCTTAACTGAACTGAAATAAATTTACTAATACTTTCACTTGCTTGATCAGGTGGATGACAATATTCCGCTGAGAGTAATGCTCCTCCTTATGGATGAAGTCTTTGATCTAAAGGAAAGAAATCAGTGGTTAAGAAGAAATATAAAAAATCTGCTTCAGCAACTTATTAGAGCAACATATGGTGACACAATTAATAGGTACTGTTTTTCTTACATAGAGCGACTGTGTGAGTGAGACTATGTAGATTGTGTCTGTAAATCCTCTTTGGTACTACTAAATTATTGCTGATTAGATCTGAATGCAGTCCCATTTGAAGAGGATCAATAAGCCAAGTACCAATGTGGTGCAAAATGGAGATAAACATAAAACATTGCTGAAAGACAAATTTCAGTAACTCTTACATGCTAGAAAACTTCCAAAAGAGCTTTGACATGTCAACAAAACTCCACCTATATGTGAATAAATGTAATATTGATGGTGTCTGTGCTTTTTTGCTCAGTGTTTTACACCGTGCTTTTTGTTGTTAGTGTTGTTTATTACTTTCTGCAGTATTTCTGTTTGCATCTCTTTGATGGCACAAATGAGACATCAGCATTATCAAATAATGTGAACTGTACAGTTACTATGTTAAACTTTTGCTCTCACACTTTGAAAGATGGAGGGGGGAGAAGGGAAAGAACTGTTATGGGGATTCTTCTCCCCCCCCCCTCCCCCATGTTTTCTGTAATTCAAAATTCACGTATATACATTTTTGTACAAATGCAAACAAATGAGTAGTGCTAAATAAGTAAGATTTCTTGACTTCGGCTTAGAAATCTACTTTTTTCAGGTTTTCCCTTCTAATTATTTATTTGTGAAATATAAATAAAAATGTAGAACAAAAAAACCAACATCTAGAAACAAGGTTGGCACTATATTATCATTTTGGATTAGTGCCACGAGTAAAAAACTTCATTTCTGGCAGATGATAAGCAGTTTCCTATTACTTTTTCAGGACATTCCTCACCGTATCATTACTTTTTACACTTCACAACTATATTTGTGGTTTTTTTCATCATAATTGTGAAACATATAGACAGTTCTTGTGGTATGATGCAACCATGTAATTATAATAGCACAGGGTCTTTTTCAAATAATTCCGGATGTCCAGGAGACAAATATCATGAGGTCTGAGCTCCCTAAAACATGCTGGCCTATTTAAGGGCTGTGAATACTTCTTATTTTCAGATTGTAGTGTAACTAGCTGAGTTTGTGCACAGGCTGCTGCTTTCTCACTGCACACGTGTGCAGAACTATTTTCCTTCTGCCTTTGGAGCTATTCCACATACTCGCATCTTCCTCTTCCTCTAATTCAACCGTCGTACCTTGTCCTAGCAGATTCTTGGGATTTAATGGTGTTCTGCAGCAAAATTGTGTTTTCCTATTCTTTAGAAAACAAAATACTTACTATATTTAGGGAGATAATCCTGGGGTTATGCTGATACACGGATGCATGTGTCATTTCTGTGAACATACTAGATTTGGACGTTGAGCTGTATGTATGTGTTGATGGTCAAAGAGTTTACGATCAGTCTGTCTCTCCTGTTAAAGATTAATAAGTAACTCCATATGTAAGTATTGTAATTTGAGATTTTAAGTAGGTTCTTAGCTTACAGAATCAGAACTTGAAGAGTGCTCCATAAAGGAGTACTCTACAATCAGAACATTTATCTAGTGTTGATGGCAGATGCAACATCAGTTTTTCAGCCTGCCTAGTCATTGTGCTTCTACTCAAGTAGAAAAAGGGTTTAGCTTTAGGAGTGCTCAGTGAGCTTAGATTTTTATCCTGAGAATTTGCCTTCCTAGTATGTAGTTTTATAGAACCTAATTATGAAATTGAAGAAAGCTGGAATTTTACTTTATTTGCCCCGGAGTGTTCTTTAAAACTATATGCCTATTTGTTTTTTTGTTTTAAAAATTAAATGAGAATTGTTGCTTTGATTTTAGAAAAATAGTTGATCATGTTGATTGGATGACATCTCCTGAGCAAGTAGCAGATGCAGTGAAACGCTTCAGGTATGTCTTTTATCATAGATGTTAAGTATGAAGTACTTGGTACTGAATGTCTAGTATCTGTATAGCCTTCCTATTCTTTTTAAGTGAGGAAATTATTATTACAGTAGAGAACTCCGATTGGAGCATTCACTGCTTTTTACATGTGTTAAGTGAGAGAAAGTGTCACATAAAGAAGAATATTTTTGAGTTTTCTCCTCTTCCTTTAGAAGCTCTTTGTTAGCCAGTCTAGGAGAGCTAGAGTATGAGTATATATGCAAATTCCATATTACTGCTTGAATGGTCTTGTTTACCTTGAAGGCATGTGCATGCCTTGCCTTGAAAGGCAAACAATTATTAGAAAAAAACCCCTGCTTCTAAGCTAATATGTTTTGCATGTGGGCAGATACAATGGAACTGAAGTTTTGAATTTGAAAGTATCAAATGCTCTGTTTGTGGGAGAGGCCACGCAGAGGGATTGGAACTAGATGATCTTTAAGGTCCCTTCCAACCCAAACCATTCTGTATTTCTGTTTTATTGTGCCTTAAGATAACTTCCTGTCAGAGTGAAGTTTTTAATACCCCTTTATGATTCAGGGCAACAGCAACTTTGAAAAATATGTTATTCGTACGCTTAATAATTTATAATTATAGTAATACAAATACTAGGACCAGGAATTAAAATTTTATGTCAAACAGGATAAGGATAATTTTCAGGAAGTATGTGCATTAGAGGACTACTATAGTAACTGGCATCTCTGCATTAGCTCTAGAGCCATATGTTTTGCATGTGGGCAGGTACAACAGAACTGAATCCTGAGTTTCAAAGTATCAAAGGCTCTGTCATTCTCTTTCCTAAAAGGCCTAATGGCATCTGCAGTTGGATGGGGGTGGTAGATGTTAAGTAGGATAAAGTATCAGCCAAAGGCTTATACTTTACAGATACCCTGTTATTCTTAATAAAACCAAGTAAGACTATGTGTTGCTTAATCAGGAAAATAATTTGTAATTTACTGATGCAAAATACCTTTTTATAGAGCCACACATCTTTTGCATTGGGCTTTATACTACACTGGAACTACTTCATCTCAGCTCTAGCTTATTGATAGCTTAACTACCAATGGAGATCTAATAAAGCAATTAATAGACCTAAGGCTTGAGTCTCTCATTGGCAATAGAGACTGATTGGTAAATGGAAATTTTAGGTGTATTTTATGTAACAACTATGTGGTATTTGGATGTTTTTGATGTGTAATATTTTCTTAATTTTTTTTCATCTGGTTCTTGCACTAAAGTGTATGGTAGCTACTAGTAGGTCGAGTGTATTGTTCTTCTTGCTTTTGATTTCTTTTTTGCCTTTTCCATTTTCTAATATTTGAGCTGTGTGTTATGTTGTGTGCAGATTGCTTTCTTATATTTGTTTTAAGAGGTAGCTTTCAGGGATTAAAAAGAGCCTTTCACTTGATAAAATTTTAACGTGTTTTGACAGATTTGCTTTTGTTACAGAGATGCTTTTTGGCCCAATGGCATTTTAGCAGAGGCTGTTCCACGGAGGGACAAAGCTATTAGAATGAGAACAAGAGTGGCAGGGAAGACCAAATTACTGGAGGTAATGCCAGGTGAGTCTGGTATTAAAGTCTAATAATCCTTATCATATGTTGTTATTGGAATAATGTCCCTATTCTTGTGAATTGTTTAAATGTTGTTCCAAGCTATGTCATTTAAAAGACTTAATGTTCAGTTTAAGTTTGCTGTTAACACAGAAGCAGAATTTAGCTTAAACCACTGTGTAACTTTCATTTTTGTAGATGAGCTGAAACACATCATAGGCGCTGAGACAACACGGAAGGGCATTCTTCGTGTCTTTGAAATGTTTCAGCACACTCAACTGAATAAGAGAATGGTGTACGTGTTTCTGGAGAGATTCCTAGAAACCTTATTTCCACAAAATAAGTTCCATGAGCTCTTCAACAAACTGCACTCACGGTCAAAGCAGATGCAGAGATATAAGCAAAGACTACATTCTACTCAAGCGCCTTCATTGCAGAAAAGGTGACACTTCAAACCTATTAAGCTGGTGTATGTTTGTCCAGGACTAATTACTTGGGCAGATTCTCTGGGGCTTCAAACTCACATGCTGTTATTTCTGCACCAGTCTTCTAGTGTCACATATTAGGTTATTAATGCATCTGTAAGACCTGTGGATTGTCTCATCTTCACTTGTAATTCAACCACTACCTGAAGGGTTTATGTGTCTTAAATGATTTGGTGCGTCTTCATGCAACATTGAGAAGAATACTGGCCCAATGTATAAGAAAGCCGATTCCTTCCATTCCTGTCAATGTTTTCACAGTAATGAGAAGTGCCAGACTGTCCAAGTAAAGCACAACTCTGGTGATAGAATGGAAGAATAGGGTGTTTCGGCACTGGGAGATAGTGCAATGTGTGAGAATCAGGTAGAATTGTTCTACCTTACGAGTGTTGAGGCTCTGTAGGGCCCTCTTAACATTCCTGTATAGGATAAGCTAACAGGAAAAGCAGTCAGGAGAGGGGAGAGATAGTTACAGCCCCATCTTAAAAGTACAATAATTAAGAAAAACTTGAGGTAATGTGGCTTTTATGCCACATTTACTTCACTTTTCATGTTTTGAAAAATAAACTAACGTTAGATCTAAGGGGAATCTTAGTGAAGGCAGAGGTGCAGTAGAAATAAACCTTTATTCTGATTATTCTGTAGCTTTAAGGGTCATATTCTGCTCTTACAGCACCAGGCAAACATTTTGCGTGTAACTTCATTGACATCATATTTATGTTCAATTGATTTATTTGAACATATGTCATGATCATAGTTGTAGGAGGAAGGGGGTACATGTTTCAAGGAGAGCAGACATCATGTAAGGAGATGAGGAAGTTGCTCTAAGACACAGCTTACACACAACTGCCCACTAAAATTCGACACTTTTTTGGGTTGTAAATGTTAATGTCCTACTAAATTGAAAGATTCCTTACCTTTTAGTGTGTAAGCCTCATATGGAAAAATACTAGTATTAGATGGTTCCTCGCAGGTAAAGGGTCTCACTAGTCATATGCAAACACTTCAAAATTCTTGACCGCATCTCAGTGTATATATGAAAATAAAAAGGATATAAAACTACAGTATTTTTTTAAATATTTTTTTTATTTTTTGCATAGTATACAATTTTAATAAACATTTGACATCAAGACCCCACATCATCCTGTTTAGTTTCATTGAAGAATTTCTTTCCAATTGGAAATAAAGTAACAACTGAATACTCCTGTTTGGCCACAGCATGTCTCAGTTTGTGTTTTCTTTTTCGTAGTCCCCACCCCTTTAAAGACCACTGTCCAGGTGAACAGAAAGTAATCCTATAGAGTCCATTTTGTTCTGAACACTAGACACAGGGTAAGATGCAGCTACTGAGTAAGGATCCTTAGAGTAATTTGTGTCTTAATGGGAACAAATGATCCTTTTACATGAGAGGGGAGCACAGACCTTTTATGAAGGCATTCTCAGAGAAGATAGAAGGTTTTCAAAAGACCTAGTTAAATTGACTGAAGCCTCTATATATAGGTAATTTTTTCTCATGGACTCTATTAATGCGGTGTAGCCTTTTATCATACTATTTAATGATGATCATATTGTGCTGTTAACATTCTCATACAGTATGCATGGGCTCAAGTGCACTTGTTTTTTTCTTTATTGCAGAACTAAATACTGTAAATGAAATCCTTTTCTTTTATAATCCCTAGGAAGATAAGTTGGTTAATATGTAAGAACCCTTCCCCCTTCCTCTCTGCAGGTTCTGTAGAAACCATGATGATGAATTGCTGTAGAATTTTACAAAATTCTTGAGTTCTGTGTGAAGTAACCAACATAGCCAGCTCCTATTGTTTACATGCCTGTATCTTCCTCTGATGTCAGGGTGCTCAAGCATACTTGGCATCTGACTGATGAAAGATCAATCAGCAGTTGTACTTGGTGATATAGGAAATATATCATTGATCCTAACAAATCTCATTTGTCTTTTAAATCATTGAATTTGTTATGCAGTATAAAAGTGGGAAGTTCAAATACTGTTTTGTCAAATCTGTGAAACCTTTTATCTATCTGTAGGTACCATGAAAAATTTCAAGATAATAGTGATCATTTGCAAATTTGGGATTTTTTTTTAATTATCTGGTACATTTCTGTACTACAATAAAATAATATCTCTAGGAATGTGAACTGAACATACTACGCTGTGTGTATTAGTAATTTTACTTTTTTTAATTTATTACATATATATACCTATACACACATATGTGAGTGTGCATATGTATATATGTATTAAATTTTTGTCTTCTGTTTTTAATTACAGAATGTGGCTTCCTAATTCAGTGGTGCCTGTTGACTGGCAAAAATAATCAGAAATGAATACTTTTTGTTTAAAAAGAGTTTGTATGTACCTTTATTTAAATGGTTTTCCTGTTGATGATTTCAAATGTTGATGACCTGCCCTGTCAACCCATGCAGCCTGTTATCCTAAAAAGTCTCCAAATCTGAATGTTAATATACAGCACTTAAGTGTCTGGAAGTATTTTCTGGCCTTTGGGTGCTGTGACTGGCCACTGAAAATTGTGCCATTGTCAAAAAATGCACTTATTTTAGCCTTAATTATTTTTAAGAGAAAATGAGCAATTGAATTTTTCATTTGGTTCATCCTTAAGCTTGTGCTGCTGGTGTTTGCTAGAACTAAACATTAAATTTTAAGTGCTACCAGAATGTGTACCAAAATAAAAATATATGAATTCCACAATCTAAATTTCAATTTTGTGCAATATTTTCATTTAATGCATGTGTATTTGAATAACTGTAAAATAAATGAATTTTTAATGTTTTGAAGTCTAGGTTAAAAATGATTTCTCTGCTGAACAATTTTGCATTCTGTTGCGTTAGTTTATTTAAGGACTTGTTTTAAAAGTCTTATTTGTTAATCCTTTGTTAATTCCCTTGTTCTCAGTGATCTTTACTCATCTGAGCAAAGCTCATATATTGCAAGGGAAAAATCTGAAGAGCACATCTCATGAATATAGCTGTTATAAATTACTTGTGCATATCATTGTACAGTAAGTGTCAGCTGTGTGCCTAATTGTTCTATTGATGCTTTTTCCCACCCTTCCCCGTCCTCTCGTTTGTGTAACAAAGAATAAACATGAAGCAGACTGCCACGGTCACTTCTACTGAATGGCAGAGGACTCTTAAATTTTTTTTGGAGTTTGTATTTATGTTCTGTCCAATAGAAAGCTAAAAAATTACACTAATAAAGTATTAACAGGATTACTATGAGTCTTTAACTGTTTGTTTTTAAAATAACTTTCTCGTTAGCGGGTACGAATGTTCCTCAGTCTGGAAATAAACCACTAAGAAAAAATATTGCTGTTCAGTGATATTTAGAAAATCAGTCATTTGTTGATTTTTTGTAAACAATTTATGAAATATTTTTACTTTTAACAAATTAATGTCTGCATTAATTTTCAACCGGTATTTGCAGAGTGTCTTCTATTTTCAAAAGATGTGCAGAAACTGTGGCAATGTATGGTGTGTGAGGGATGTTTTTTTATTTTGTTGGGTTCTTTTTACTCTTTGTTGTTTTTTTTTTCCCCGGGTTTATTTTTGCAGCAGCTGGATCTACCATGGGAGCACAATTGTTACCCTTGACATATTTATTCCAGCTGTTTCACATTCATCAAAACGATGTCCTGAGCTACAGAGCTGTTGGTTCTTTGACCCTAGGGTAATGTGTTTACTGCTTTCACTAACTTACACACTTTTGTTACAGGATATAGACACATTTCAGGAATTTCACTAGCTGCTTGCAAGTTCTAATTTCTTGAAGTTGTTTTTCTAGGATAATTTCATGGCAAGAAATTCCACTCAAAACATTCTTAGAAATTAAAAATATCTGCCATTTGCTAAGTGAGAGTAATACAGGCCTGTAGGTTATTTAACTCTGCAGTCTGTCACATTAACTGGTTTATATTTGATATCTAGTGAATATATGAGCATTGCTAAAGTTTCAGTAAACAGCATCACTCTGCATCAATTTATTTAACCTGAAACGTAATGGTTTACATTATGAAAGAAAGTTAATGATATAATTCAAACAATTATTTCATATATGTTAAGTATTTCTAAAGAAATTAAGCTTTATTTTAATTAAACATTTTGAAACCTCTGTGCCACTGCAGTTTCTTCTGCATGCATACAGCAATATGTTTGCATTCTTTAGTATTAAAGTATCTCAAAAAACTTTCTGTTTTTTGAACTTTCTGAAACTGTCTCTCTTATGTTACCGTGGCATGTTGGGGTTGGAACAATGTGTATGGGTTGATTAAATTATTTTATATCTGGTTCAAAAGGGCTAACTGGAATTCTCATTTAACATTTTATATAAATACATGTTGAGGTTGCACTTCAATATGAAACTAGATTATATTGAATTTATTGGCAGTCAAGAGCTACTTATCAGTTTGAAGAAATGTAGATTTCAAAACCAATCTTGCTCTTTCTTACTGTAAGATTTTCAAAAGCAAGTCCCAAGTAGTCTCTTAAATCTGTTTTCTGAATTTTTTCAGCCAAAAATCTGCTAATTCTGAATTAAGTCAAGAGCTACTTACGGAATTTTCAGTTGCCAGCTCACTGAAATTTTAGGGAAGAGATTCTTATAAAACTGCCAGAATTGGGAACACCTCGTTTGCTTAGAACAGGTGGAAAATAGTTGTATGAGTTACCTGGTTTTTCCGTGCACAGAATAGCTGCAACTCGAAAGAAACTTTTTACTTTTTTTTTTTTATTTCCTAAAGGCTGCCAGCCAGTACTAGGGCAAGTACAAAAATGTCTTTGTACAAATCATCTCGTGTTAGGAAGGTACAGACTTCTTATTTTTCAGTTTGAAAGTGACATTAGGATTTGATTGTCAAAGACAATGTTTTCCTTTTTTGTTTTCAACGACTTTATGCGAAGCATTCCTTTATAGTCTGTTTTAAAATTTGATTTTCATCTTAACCTGCTAAACTTTTTATTATATATGTTGATTTAAGTCACTGGCTTGCTAGTAATCCTTCCTTTTTGCAAAGGAACAAGACCCATTTATACTTCATGTAAAAACACCAGAGGTATTTTGAGGAGAAAAGAGAGAGGAGCTTAATTCAATATTCTGTTGTCTTGGGTAATCATATCAATGCAAAGTGAAACTGGAGTGTCATGGAGCTGGGAAATCACGACTTTGTGCGATGCTATGTAGGGGTTTCATGGGCCCAGGGTTCTCCTATTTTCT